TAACTGGGAGAAGCAACATGTCCATGTTCAAGGTCTTTAGGTGACATGCCTCTGGATATGATTTTTCTTGAAATGATTAGCCTATTACTCAACATAGTTTAAGGCCTTAAAAGAATAAACTCATCACTGGTACTTATGTGAGCTTCCTTGATATCAAACAAATGTTTTGTAGTTAGAAAAGTTTATCATGAGAATGAAAATTCTAATGCAACAGTTATGTAAGTCTTGAAGATTTTGAAAAGATATCGCACAAATTTTGCGAGTTAGAGCACCATTTATTTTTGTATAGGAAAGACATATGATACCAACATAATTCTTTAGAACGTTCATGGGAGTCAGGAACACTATCTCATGGAAGTATGCTTTCAAAATAACCTTGCTTCAATTAGGACTTTTGAAGGTTGTAACGTGGTCTGGTTCATGGTTTTTAGAAAAAAAAGATTTTAAGGCTCAAAAATATTTGGTGCCCACCCATTCTTCATGATGTTCTCCAACCCTATGTTCAGTTAATTCAACATGAGTGTTCATCTCTCAAAAGGATTTTGTGACGGTCAAGGAAACGACGAGGCTTTCGGAGTAGAAACCACCCTCATGTCTTTGTGTTTGTAGTCACCAATTTGTTCTTTGCTGAGGACTTTTCTTTGCAGTCCTTTTCTTCGCGATTTTATTTTCCCTAATTTTGCCTGAACTAATTTTTTGAATTGATAGTCCAGCGGGATGCCTTAATTTTGCCTAAGTCACACATTTTCATGTTTTTTGACTTAGCAGGCTTCTTCTTTTTTTTCTATTTTTGACTTTTTGAACAAAATGTGTGACATTAGCTTGCATTTGCTTGTTGAGAGGATTGTGATTGCCTCGTTTCTTGATGAATGAGGGATAACATTGTGGTTCCACATCCTCTAGATTCATTATACATGAAGGATAGCCCTTGTAGTTTCTCTTCAAAAAACATCTTCCTTATGAATTTTGAACACTCAGTCAGATTAACTAAAAACTACCCTGCCCCAGGTTAAAATTCAAGGTTTTTTCGTATAGAAAAGAAACTTCTGCTTCAAAGGCTCAAAAGGGGTTAGCAAGGGATTATCTTCCTTATATCTCCGGTGTTTAGGGATTTGAAACAATGCCTGTACATCATCAGCAAGATTTTATCCAAAGGCAAACAACCAGAGATTTTGTGTTCTTTAGGTCATCATCCTCCCTTCAATCTCTGCCTAGGCAAGAGAATGAGCGACAAGTTGGTATCATAATGCAAAAAGAAATTTAAAATTTGAAAATAAATATGAGTGAAACGAATGAATTTCTTCAAGACAAACATACCCATTGTATTAAGATAATCATTCAAATGCAAACAAGTTCTTACATGCAAACAATGTTTTGATAAACAAGAAAAATTACAAAAAGCATGAATAAGTTAATAATCTAGGAAGGCTTTCCATCTGGACTTGAATTACCGAAAACATCCTTCAAAAATCACCATCAATCGTGTTTACTCTTCGGCGCATGCTTGATTTGAACTTCAAAACCAACGTCCTTGAATGACAAGATACCACTTCTGACCAACTTCTGAACCTCAATCTTCAAAGCAAAGCAACCCTCCAAGTCATGCCCAGGAGCACCTTGATAAAAGGTACAAGCCAAATCAGCTTTGTAGTACCAATGTATCTTCTTAGGAACCTTCGATGGAGGTCGGGTCTGAACCAAATTCCTCTGCATCAGGATAGGGAACAACTCTGTATAGGTAATTGGAATTGGATCAAACTGGGTTTTCCTCTGATTAGGAACTTGCTGATTCTATTGATGAATAGGAGAAACATGATGATTCTGACAATGATTATTTCTTCCTCCGGTTCTCTTCTTGGAAAAGTTATTATCAAACTTCTTCACACCATTAGCTGAGCTACCATCTTCATATGAACATCCCTTTCTGACATCTTCTTCTAGACGCACTCCCATATTCACCTTGTCAGGAAAGCCATTAGGTGCATTAACCAACATCTTCTCATGAGAGAATGATTTTAGAGTTTCAGTGAAGACTTTTATCATCGCTTCCTCCCTCCTAAAAGGATTGACTTGGGCGGCAACCAAAATTTCAACCAAACCAGTTAAGTGCTCCACACTAGCTTTCAAATTAGTCATCTCTCTACGAAGTTCAGAAACCTCTTGCTTGATATTCTCCATTGTTCTCTTAGCGCGAGTGTTGTACTGGTGAGACCAAAGGAAAAATAAGACTCGGAAAAAGACCTTTGAAATTGAAACAAAAAATGTAGAATGATGTATGATATGCAAAAGAGAGTTTTTATTTGATTTTCAAGGAACTCAAGATATTAAGTTATAAACATCAAAGTATGAAGATAGAAGATGAATTTTAAATTGGCTCCAAACATTGATCAAGTTATCATCAAGATCAATCATCCATTTTGGTGGATTAGGGTTTTCGCCCTATCAACACCCAAGATCCATTGAGCTTGACAAAACTTGTGATGTTTACAAAGAAAGACCTCCAAATTCCTTCAAAGTTAAGTGAAAAGGGTTTTATGGATGCATGAATGCATGGCTATGCAACAACCACAAGCAAGGTCACAAATAAAGTCGAAACGTTCAACGTCACGAGCATGGAGTCAAGGTAAGGAACACCCCCAAGGTATGTACTAACGGTTTAATCACACCTGTAGAACAAGGTTCTAAGAGTTCCCGGAGTCTACATTCCTCCTTCGGATATTACCAACGTCTTGATTACTCAATAATCAGCAATATTCTCAAGAGAAACTCATCCGAGCGTAGCATCGCGTAACAATTACTTCCGGATTACTCCGTTATAATCTCCGCGCTACACCTAAAAGGCCAAGATGGGTTAGGGTTCTACGGTTCCCAGCTTCTCTGGCTCCCAGGTCGAAAATAATAATGTCCTCCCGATTACTCGGTAAACAAATATTACGTTCAAAAGGGCCTTCCACTGAGTGGGGGATCTCATGCCTCCTTCTTCGGGATTACTCCCTCAAAGTTAACATGACTATACCGCTCGTCCTATTCCTAAGTGTAACTTAGTCCGGGTATAAGACTTGTCCTTTGCAAAAATTATCAACACCCAAATAATCATAATATATACATATAATCAAACAATCAAATAATGATAAAACAGATAAAACAAATTAGGCTTAACCCCCTTAGGGATGGACCAGCAAGAGGTCAATCTGTCCCCAGCAGAGTCGCCAATTCTGTAGCGGTGAAAATCGGAGATCAAGCTATTAATTAACTTGACTCACAAAAGCAAGAGTCGCCACCGTGCTTTATTATTTCCAAGGGAAAAGGGAAAAGAGCGAAATAAAACCCTAAAGTATGCAATGTAAATTAATATTTAAAAATAATAAAAATACAATGCGTTTAAAAGAGATCGAGAGTTCGGGGGTTGGTTATACAATGGGAAGGTATTAGCACCCAATGCATCTGCGGTACTCCGCAGGAACCTTTTGAAATATCTGTTTTTTTGGTTAAAAATGGTTTGTTTGATTAAAATGGTTCGTTTGGCTAAAAATCGGTGTTGGAGAGATTTTGAAGATGCGACGACCTAGTGTCGAAGTTTTGACTTAAAAGGTGTGAGTTTGAAATTTGAATCTTTTAGGAAAATCGACTTAAGTTTGGAGAAAATAGTAAATAAGAAAAAAAATGAATGAGGCTATTCGCACGATTGTAGAAGACGCATTTGATGACATGAAGTCAGCTGAGTTGAAACATTTCCCTTGGAGTTAAACAAACGAACAGTAAAATAAGCTATAAAAATTAAAACGAACTAAGTCGAAAATATCACAAAATTTATTAACATATGAAAAGAAAATCAAAAAAGGAATAAACATAAACAAAAATTGATAACAAGTGAATGATAATAAAGAATACGTGACGGAAGAAAAAAAAAATTAAGCATAAAGAGATATAGCAAAAATTAACTCTGAGCTACAATTGAAATTTCTAAGATTATTGAATTAAATCTAAATTAAAATTCTAAAACCTAATAACTAAACTAAATGAAAATTATAAAATTACTAACTAAACTAAATCAAACATTCTAAAGTTATTAACTAAATTAAACATTCTAAAATTATTAACTACCGAATAAAATTCTAAAAAAAATACTAGCTTGATAAAAATTCTAAACTTACTAACTAATTCTAAAGAAAATGTTAAGTTGATTCTAAACTAAACTAACCGATTAAGGTTTATCTAAAATTATGATAAAGAATTACTATTAACTAATTAACAATAAAAAAAATAACTAACAAAGTTGGTGTGAGAATTAGAAAACATCAAAATGGAGGGGAAGTAGTAAAAAAAATGGTTGGGCCTAAAAAAACTCTAAACCTAATTCATCATATACTAATGCAAATACAAATAAAAATGAATAATAAAAAGAAAAAAGAAAATAGAAAACAATAACTACATAAGAGAGGTAACGATGCCCCTCATTAGTTTTGTGGTTCTAGACTTTTCTATCTCTTGCCCAACCAATAATATATTAACACGTAGCATAAAGTAAATTCAAACCAAAGTTCTTAGTCAATGAGATAATGACACGTGTTACTCAAACAAAAAAATTAAAAAATAAAGAAAAGCCATACCATAATGCAAATGATGTAAAGTATCAGATCCACAAAAGCATCCTCTTCATCTATCTCGTCTACCTCCTTCATCTTCTCGTTTTTTTTCTTCATTGGTGGTGTGCGGCTTCACAGCGTTGAATGGTTGCGTTAAAGGCAACGCGACGGTGAAGGTTGAGTTATTATGAGGATCTGAGGTTGACGGAGGGTGGCCGTGGTTTGGAAGCTGAGCGGTGGTTGTCGTGGTTGTTGATACCAAATCAACATTGACAGTGGCAGATTGTTGGATCTTGTCGGTCATTTAAGGGTGTAAAACAGTTGCGCTATAGCGGTGTCTGTCGGTTCCGTGACGCAAGGGCAGTGGTTTAATCACATCAGAGGAGAAGTGTTTGTCGCGGATGGGAGCGTGCATCAGCATCGCGTGAGCACCGGTGCAGTATCTGATGCAGTTGTGTTGTTAGGTACATGTGTTGACCAATTTACGTTTTTGGCAACAGACACGGAGTTTACCATATTAATTGAGAAGAGCGAGAAAGTGTCATTTGTAGGTACAAAATTCTGGATTTGATAACCTTGAGACGGAAGGCTGCCTAGTACCGAAACAAAGTCAATGGCTTTTGTAGTCTTAGTCCCAACTTCAACTTTGGAAGATCTTTTTGGTTTCTTATAGTTCTGTATTTGACCATTAATCCATAGCCCAAGTAGGACAAGAAGTGCAGTTCCAAGAGTAAAAAGAAAAACAGATTCCATGCTGAATAAAACACCAGGCTCAACAACTTCAATTGTGCCATTATATAAGGTGTTTTGGTATGGATGTTGGTCTATCTCATATATAATGGTGCCCACAAGATCAAACGGTCCAGGCTGCAAGAACTTACTGACAGAAAATATATATGGGAAAGTAGCCTGAGTTGATGATGGCACAGAGCCATTGTTGAAAACCTGAACAGTAAGGTTTTGAACAAGAAGTTGATGATCAAATGGAAGGTGAACACTAGCCTTAATTGCAACAACATTCAAACTCGACTGCCCATCATTTTTCAGACCAACAAGCAGCTCTGCCTCTTCACCACCTTTTACCAATCTTGCAATATTCTTAGGGAAGACACAGATGGTCTCAATTCCCGGGGCAGAAGGGAAACCTCGATCAGCAAAGTCTTGAGCTTCATCACTTTCATCACCAACAATTCCAATGTCACTCACTTCACCAGCATTCTCTGCAGCTTCATCTGACTGACACCTAACAACTTGGAGGAGTGGGGAAGCGATGAGGAAGAGAAGAAAGGAGAGAAAGCAGAAGTTGTTGATGAGCGCCATGTGGATGGTTCTAGGGTTTGTGGAGTTAGGGAGGTAGCAGTATGGGTGAGTTATGTTGAGAGATAGAACAATCTTGCCCATTTGAAAAAGGAAAGGACTTTGGAGAGATGAATGTGTTAGAGAGAGATAGGACTTGTTGGGTCAGTGTAAGGTGTTGCGTTGAGAGAGATTTTTGTGAAAAGTTTGGTTTGAAAATATTTACATGTTTGTTGATTTGTGAAGAGAAAAGGAGAGGATTGGTGAGAATGTGTGTGTTGTTATTTTGGTTTTTTTTTGTGTGAAGGAGGCTTATGCTGATGCTAGTTTTGTTTGAGGAAAAGTGAGGATGAGGTATTATGCGTGAGAAGAGAGGAATGGAGGGATGAAAAACATATATTGTGAATTGCCTCTTTTTTTTTGGTTTTGTTTTTATGTATTGATCCTCAATTCTTGCTTACAACCAATGAGAGCAAAGCAAAGTGGAACAAACATTTTTTTATGACAGAAAAGCCCTCTAAAAATAAAAAGAAGTAAAAATCTGAAAGTATAAAAAAAACTCAATTTAAAATGATTTTTTTTGAATGTTTTATGAATAAAAAATAAAGACACAAAATGACCGAAAATGATAAAAACCGGACGAAAATTTATCCGAAAAAATAAAATGAACAATTAAAATAATCTGCATGTCACAAAGATTAAAGAAAAAAATACTCAAGAAGTCGAAAATCAAAAATAAAATAATAATAAAATATCAGACTAAACAGACGTTTAAGGTTAAAATGGGACTTCGAACTGTACCGAAAAATAAAGCGAGCATACCGTCATAATCTACGCGAAGCGCAGATTCATAAAATGATCGGTAAAAGGTGAGAACTTGAAATATTTTCTCGCTACTTTCCCGCATAGTGTCGAATCGCTTTTAACAGTCTGTCTATAAAACCAAAATATTTTTATTATCGACATATAAACAACTTGGAGCAATGCAACAAATGAGTAAATAGATAAAAATGCATGAAGCAAAATGCCGGGTATTTTACAACTGAAAGACGATGCAAACTTTGATTTAAACTGACTTTTTCTGGTCAACTTAAATACGACTAATGATGCAAAATATGATGAATGAAGATATTTACTAATGATTGTGACCAAATGACAAAATATGGTATGAAAGTGCGACTAAAACATATTAGGGGCGAAATCAAGGGTGCAACGGTGTGCCTTGATGAATCAGTCTTCAAGAATCCACAATCAACCGTACTTCTGGCTTGGGAGACTCGAAATCTTAATTAAGGCGCGACACCTGATGCTCTTGATTCAGACCCGTCTCTGCACATGACACAAAAGAAAACATGAACATACACCTTTGTATGCGATTAGAAATTAGTGATACATAGGCTCAAAATGTTCAAAGCACTTGACAATCTTTGCATAGTCAATGCTTGAAAGTGAGAGGTTAAAACCGACTGCATTTCGTGACCTTGACTTATCTTCAAAAATGCAAAAGATAAAAATGGGATCTTAGGTCAAAAATTGGGGTGCAACAGCAGCCCATCATCGAAGTCGGAGGACGCGGCCGCGCCCCCGCGAGAAAAGAAAGAAGACACTCTGGAGACGGGCGTGGAAGAATCAACCAACAAGCACCACGCTCGAGAGATGCCCAGCACGAGCAGGACCGTCGTGACCGACAGTATTACAGGTCCCCATCTCTGTCCCCAGAACGGAGCGACGAAGACGACCCCCGCGGTCCCCTGTCGCAAGCTATCATGGAGGCGCCCATCCCCCCAGGCATGGAGAAGCCTCCACACTTGAAGGAATACTATGGAGTCGCAGACCCGGTCGACCACATAGACGGGTTCGAGGCTATGCTGCACTATCACAATGTCGGGGGGCCCATCAAATGCCGCCTCTTCCCCACGATCCTCAGGAAGGCAGCAATGGACTGGTACAAAGGACTCGCCCCGGGGTCAATCACCTCATGGCGAAACCTGAAGAACCAGTTCATTAGTTCATTCACGGCATCTCGCCGACACCCGAAGACCGAGGCGGCTCTCGAGGCCATCATCCAGAGACAGGATGAAACCTTGAGAGAGTTCATCAATCGCTTCAACCGCGAAGCCATACAGGTCCCCTGCGCGGACCATATGAAGAGACATCTGCTGGAGAGGGGGCTCCTCCCCGACACGGAATTCAGAAAGGCTGTGGGCATTGAGCCACCTAGGATGTTTGACGCACTCCTCGAAAAGGCCCGGGCATACATGGACTACGAGGATAGAGAAGCGACCAACAGAGCCCGAGACCCCAGGACTCGCGGGTCCAACAACAACTCGCGCCAGGAAGCTCCTCCTCCTCGACGAACCGGGGAGAAAAGAAAAGAAGACAAACCCCGGGAAGTCCGGGAGCAACGGGGTCCCTCGGGGCGTTTTACCGAGTACACTCCGCTCACAGCTTCCCGCGAGCGCATTTTGGCGGAGTGTGCCAGCATGGACTTCAAGGACGGCGGCGTCAAACGTCCTCGACCTGCTCCCGCCAAGCCTGGAGCAGACAAGAACAAATATTGTCAGTACCATAGGAGCCATGGTCATCTGACTGAGGATTGCGTCCACCTCAAGGATGCCATCGAAACCCTCATCAAGGGAGGAAGGCTTGCATAGTACCGGCGAAATGACGCTCCTCGCCGTGACGCCCGGGAGACAGGAGAGCCGGAGGAAGACGCCCGACCATCTGACGAGTCGGTCCCCATCCAGACCGCCTTCTCCGTGACCAGACCCGAGGACTTCAACGTCCCCGAACACCTGCAGGAACCGCTCACAACACACAGCAGGTGGGAATATTTCCCCTCCGCCATGGTCATCAACGACGGAGGATTCAATGACTTGACCATTAATTCGGAAAAGAGGAAGCTGGATGAGCTGATCGACGCAACACCCCCGCAAACAGTGACATTTGAAAGGGTGAAGGGCAGATCAAAACCCATCACCTTCTATCTAGAAGAGCTCCCCGGGGGAGCCCCCAACGCGGTCATCCCCTTACTGATAAGGGCAAGAATGGCCAACTTCGATGCGCATCGCATCCTCATCGATAAAGGAAGTTCCGTCGACGTAATGTATAACCAATTGTTCCGAACTCTACAGCTGGACGACTCACATCTCTCGCCATATGTAGGGTCGGACTTACAGGGTTTCAACGGCTCGACCTCCAAACCTTGGGGATATGTCGAGCTCCTGGTTACATTCGGCGAGGGAACAACGACAAGACAGGTCAAAGTACGCTTCCTCGTCATCGACTGCCCGTCCCTCTACAACTGCATCCTGGGAAGACCAACACTGGCCGAACTAACAGCGGTGCCCTCCACCGTCCACCTGAAGATGAAATTCTACACCAAAAGGGCACGGGTAGCTACTATCCAAGGAGACCTAGCCGCTGCTCGGAGGTGTTTCAACGCTGCATCTAAGGGACGCGACACGGTCGACGTAGGGACAAGGCCCGCCAAAAGGACGCGACAAGAGCCCGACAAGCAAGAGTCTGCCACGGAAGAAATCCAGAAAGCTCCACCAAAGGTCGACTCTATAGCTCTGGACGCTCGTTTCGACCAGGACGAACCTCCTAACAGCGAGCAAGTTCCACTTCGACCGATACCATACGGGGATTTTGAGCTCGTTCCCCTCGGCACAGACCCGAACAAAGGAGTTAAGATTGGCAAGGATCTCCCCGACCTAGCAAGGAAGTAAATCAAGGCCTGCTTGCGCGAGAATGCTGACCTGTTCGCCTGGAGCGCCGCGGAGATTCCCGGACTCGACCCTGAGGTCGCCTGTCACCATCTCGCCATAGATCCTGCCGCTAGGGCTGTAGTACAACGTAGGCGTAGGTAGTCTCCAGAGAAAACGGAGGCTGCTGAAAAAGCTGTAAAAGACCTCCTAGAGGCAAATTTTATTTTTGAAGCCCGGTATTCCACCTGGCTGTCAAACGTTGTACTTGTTAAAAAGAATAATGGAAAATGGAGGATGTGTGTTGACTATACCGATCTTAACCGGGCCTGCCTGAAAGATGCTTTTCCTTTACCGAACATAGACATGCTGGTCGACAACTCGGCCGGCTACAGAACATTGTCGTTCATGGATGCTTACTCGGGCTATAACCAAATCCCGATGGCCGTGGGCGACAAACACTGCACGACTTTCATGACCAGCTTGGGCAACTATTACTACAACGTAATGCCCTTCGGACTGAAAAACGCTGGGGCAACCTACCAACGCATGATGAATAAGGTTTTCCACAAGCAGATTGGGGACATGCTCGAGGTTTACATGGACGACATGATCGTCAAATCCCGAGCAGATACCGACCATGCAACGCACCTTAAGGCAGTCTTTGCCCAAGCAAGACAAAGCAAAATGAGATTCAACCCTGAGAAATGCACGTTCGGGGTCAAGGCAGGAAAATTTCTCGGATTCTACCTAACAGAACGAGGAATCAAAGCCAATCCCGACAAGTGTCGAGCGTTCTCCGACTTCCCGACACTGACCTCGAAGAAGTCGATACAAGTCATGAACGGCATGCTCACATCATTGTCCCGTTTCGTCGCGAGGTCCGCTCAGCACGCCCTCCCCTTCTTCAAACTCCTTCGTAAAGAAGCAGCCTTCGAATGGAACGAGGAGTGTGAACGGGCACTGTGCCACCTAAAGCAAAGTTTATCTCAACCGCCCGTATTATCTCGACCAGCCGACGGGGAGCCACTGTTCCTATACTTGGCCATCTCAAACGAGGCTATCAGCGCGGCTCTCATCCGCGAGACCATCGACGGATAGAAACCTGTCTACTTCACGAGCAAAGCCTTACAAGGACCCGAAAGCAGGTACCAACAGATAGAAAAGGTAGCCCTAGCCCTCGTCAACACGGCGAGGAGACTCAGACACTACTTTCTGGCCCACACAATCATCGTACGAACTGACCAACCAGTGAGGCAACTCCTGGGTCGGCCCGACATGGCGGGCAGAATGTTGAAATGGTCCTTAGAGCTCTCT